GATTTCCATATTTTAGGGGCTCTGTAGCTTTACAGTGGAAAATAGCTTGGTTTTTCCCACTGACGTTTCCATTCGCCACACTATTAGCATTAAAGCTGTTTTGAAATTATATTCATTATATAGAATATTAGCAGTTATTCTTGCATTGTGACATTTCACTAAATTTGAACTTCTACGTGATAAACGTACCAACAGTTTTATCTCACATGAAAAGAATGTGAAAACATTAATTATTCCTGAGAAATATATGCGTACTTTTTAAATTTTAGCATACGATCTCCCTTATAACACAAGTATTTTAAATATAGCAATGCTGATATATATATACATATGTAGATATATATAGCGCTTTTTATTACAGGTGTTAACAGGACCGTACGACAACTTCAATTGCAGTAATTCATTCGACAGTTATCTGACCAATAAGATATCATGTACAAAAGTGAGTAGTCAGCTGTGTGCATTTGATGGATCTGTATTCAACACCTGAGATTCTCTAATATTATTGTTTACTTCCAAACACTTAGTTTCACTGAAGGAACTCTGTGAAATCGTGTTATAAGTTGTTACCTTGAGCATGTCCACCTACGAACTAAAACTAGATGTATGTTAAAAAACGGTGTAAGCTATTAGGATGACGATACACAGTTGATGGTTTGGATTAAGAAATAGATCTAGAGTTTTCATCACGAACTGATATCAACTAAAATGCTCAAACGCTGTTTTGCCCAGTCGATGCATGAATTTCGCGCCAAAGTCCAAGATCTGTTATATTACATCTGATTGGTTCGTCCACAAATTATAGTCTCACCCTATCATTTTATTGGTAACAATAAGTACCTGTACAAGCCTATTGTCCTGTAGTCGGCATTTGTATGTAATTATCATTGGGACAAGTTACAGGGAAACGGAGTACATACTTTATACGTAGACTTCGTGGGTACACGTCGTCTGAACTTACCAGAGCTATGCTGTTCTTGTACTCTATACTACTTTCAAGGCATTTTTGAATTCCTTCCACGTCAAAAACCTCTGAGATAGGATAGTTTACTGAGAAGTTTACTCTGGGTCAGTCGACATCCTCTCAGAAGTACTTAATGCATTATTACTACTTGATATATGGAGAAAAGATTATGGTAGTACGAAAAGGGTAAGCCGAAAAACTGGAAAGCACAACACAGAGGTTCTCATGGGCTAAAAGACAGACCAAAACATATGATGCACATGACAATGTTATTCGGCGTTTTCTGGCTAAGATGCCACAGGTATTCGAAGTTTGACAGCGCTTTAATTAGTAACACCTATTATGAACCGTACGCACCTAGTAAAATTAAAAGACAAAAGCGAGGAGGCTCGAAGATATGTTTGATAGGTTATCAATATATCGTGGGTTGACTCATCTAAACTGACTAGCCATTGCAGGGGATATTGAGCAAAGTGTTTCCACTCGTGATTTGGTGCGGGTGCATGACAGAGCGCCTTCAGGTAAGTGAGCCCATTAAAATTAATGTGATCAGCATCCAATGTCGAGGACTTACAGAGCTATTTATTTTGAGGATTTATTTAACGCTACATAGAAATGTACAAGATTACTTGAAGCACACATACAAATAAATTAAGCCATATTACAAACAGGCCACCGACATGTGGTACATCAAATACGAAATTATCATCTTGAGGCAAGCAGTTCAAGGTTCTTGAAGTGAAGAAGCGGTTATTACAGCTCCAAGATAGCTAGCTGTGCAAGGCATGCTCGAAAAGTCACGCCACTGGTTCTCAATCACATGATACATGTTGTTTAGGATTTGGGATGTCGTTATTTATCGGCTATTCACAGCATTTTTTCCGTCACGCTTGAATTTTCGTAATCTCTGTGCTTGTTGCATAGCGTTTATTCCGATCTATTAGCTTGACGTATTTGTTGCTCACAAGCTAGGTGAACGTTTAGTAAGCTTCATTTGATTATATTTAACAATGCAAACTCAGGCAAGTGAAATTCATCATTTATCAAGTCAGAAATAGATCGAAATCAGAGTTTCAAGTAAAAATGAGCTCTAAAATCATCTACATATGACTGACCTCCCTACATATTGTAGTGATGAACATGTGTGTTGGTAGATGTTTATAAATTGTAGATGGAAGCAAATGAACGTTTAACCATTTCTGAATATTTTAAAACTTAATAATATAAAGCAGTAAACAGTTCTACCCATTATAAGTATCATCTTTTTCGACTGAACTGATATATTATTACGTAAGGTATCTGAGAAAGAAAAATTATATGAGTAACAATTGACTTTGTGTGATGTTTATATGAACCAATTATTCCCTTGTATTGATGACTGTTTCATTTTGAATTCCAAATACAGTACATTTGTTCGTGCTCATCTAATACTTCCTGATCAAATCGTGTTACTGCTGGTATTACTAGTTTATACTACAATTCAAATCATCACATTGACGTCGTGATGGAACGGTTGGATATACATTCTGATTTTAATGCTTCTGAGGATTACATGGAGGGGTTCGAAATCTGGGCTATGACCAAGGAAGATGATGAGGATGTTAATATTGCGACCCATTTCCTTACATTCATCGGAAAAGAAGCATACAGCTTAATAAATACTTTGGCATTTCCAGACAAACCGATTTCACTCCCTTATGCAACCCTCAAGCAACTACTGTTGGAACATGTAAGGCATACAAATTTCGAATGCGGTAAAGGAGGAAAATTCGATGAAATGACTCGCCAGAACATCAGGAATTCCACTACTTTACTACACCGTCACAGTCCAATATCTAATCAAAGTTATTCAAATAACAGTTCATTAAATTGTGAAACAGTTCACGAAGATGAGCATAAATTTGGTAAATGCTTGTTCTGTGTCATGTTTCGCCTGTGTAATTCATGTGTATTCTGTAATTCTGAATGCTTCAAATGTGGCAAAACTGTTTGCAATACCATGTTTCGTTTCGCCGAAACGTATGCTGAAAATTGTGATCGTAATCCTATTAAGTTGGGTGTTCCTAATGATCACTTATTTTTATCCAAGACTTCTAGAAGCGGTATAACGTCATATAGAAGTCCAGAGTTGAATGAAACCCAGAATCATTGTGAGACGAAAGTTTCTATTCAACCAACTTCTTATCGCATCTCTCGTGTTATTGTACCAGATATGATCTGTCATAATGTTCCACATATTTCTGATGAAATTTCTTACAACTCTGAGAATAAAAGGTTAAATGAGTCAAACCATGGTCGAAAACCAGATTCAGTTTTGGTAGATGCTGATTTTCCTGATAATCCATTCTCTAATGAAACTCTTAATAAAATGAAGGTAAATGTTTCAGAAAAATCAAATTCTTATGTCATATCAAGTGTCAGTGGTCCTCAAAATGAATTCCTCTCTAGTAATATTCCTGATGAATGCGAGAAATATGTTGCGGATGAGTGGGATTCCAGCCACATTTCTGATGTTATTGTATCAGATGTTGGATATTCTCCAAACCAATGTGTGTCTAGTAGAATCCCTAGTCAGTGGTATGGTGGATCAAATGGAATATAATGTTTTCACGAAGCAATCAGAGAACCAGTTCGCTCAGATATGAAGTTTGCACGGGCAGGAAATCCAAATCAAGTCCAAGATTATCCGATGAGTATGAGGCAGATGTATGTTTTCCATTCGATTGTTTCGCAGGTGAATCAAGCCTAGATGAATCATATGTCTTGATTACATATATCAATGCATATCTTTCTGTGTTTTTTAATATAAATAACAAAAAGAATGTGTATCATAATTTTTATTCAAGTCAAAGCCACATGATGGAATACCTCAAATTGTATATCAGTGTGTATCCCCAAATACTCACATACAGTAATCGAAGCTTGAGATTTGAGAAGATAATGAAAATTGGGGACATCATATTGGTTATAACATCGCGACGTATGGACCCAACATTATTTCGTGGGGGAGGATAGTGTTCGGAAGTCTATGATGCAAATTCTAAATACCAGTGGTTTCACTACATAACCGACATTATGATTGTATACGATTCCAGGAATCAGGTGAGTCTGTTCCAATTTCGGTTGTTAATTCAAATACTAACGGGTGCATTCTGGATAATACAGAGTGTACATCCAACACACTGTCGGACGGATGTAAGATGAACTTGAAAAGAAGACGTACAATCGATTACAAACACTTACACTCCAATTTAAGCTGTAGCGGATCCGGTGTTTATATGAACCAATGATTCCCTTGTATTGATAACTGTTTCATTTTGAATTCCAAGTACAGTACATTTGTTTGCGCTCATCTAATACTTCTTGATTAAATCGTGTTATTGCTGGTATTACTAGTTCATACTATTGGGCGGCCTGCCTAAACATCTGGGCTACCTGTTTCCCGTCATCTATATATTTCAGCAAGTTATCTAATATTGTTTGTATTAATACATCATTATGGCTATTAAGCACACAACCTATTTTGGTGAGTTTCTGAAAACTGTACAATCTTTCGCTGTAAAGGTTACAAAAGGCCTAATCAGAGATGTCGTGTTTGCTGGGAACATGCATCAAAAAGAATATACATTATTCATATGTCGATTGACTGAACTGCTGACATCCAACTGGCGATCACTGAATGTTTATCATCAGGAGCAACGAAGAAATAAGAAACGTGAACATGCTGAAATACTTTATGCTGAGAATTCAATTTTGTATCAAATAATATAATATTGAATGAAGCTAATAATAATAATAATCATCCAAATACGCTTAAACAACACACATTGATGGCTTTTTCTCCCCTTCTTTCTGAGCATTTACAGGAATTGTGTACAACATTACTGTGAGTGCCACATAATTTTGTCGAATATTCTTCGTAAGTAAAACGATTCGTGTCTGTTTCGAACATGGTAACAGAAACATGTCTTGTGTAATACTAGTTTTAATGTGTCCTAGGATTAACAGATAAATTTTTTTAAACATAATTCGAAATCACCAGTAATATTATTATTACTTTTATTCAAAAAACATCTTTTGGGTACATAAGTGCTGTGAAACTGGTACTTATAACACAAGCACAAAGTCACCAGTTAAAATTGTCGGCATGCCTCCCCATAAAAATATGAAGACGAAAATGAAAATTGGGCAAAAGTTTATTGATGCATCATTTCTATTGGTACAAAAACAGCAAAATTTGATGCAGAGAAATCTGTTTATAAGTTCTATATATAATGGAATCAAAAGTACAAACACAAAGAACTTTTCGCAGTAAACAGTTCTTGTCATTTCTCCGCACTTCGTTACATTCCGAACCGTATTTTTGTTCGTAAAGAGGACTGCAAGAAGAGAAGTGTTTGAGAAATTGCAGTCTTACCTAGTTATTGATGATTCTTTCCTCTTCACCACATTTCTCAACAATCTGTTGTTTGTGCATCTTTTGGCTTCGCTGAATCCTGTTCGCTCTGTCTGGGTAATGATAATAATAATAATTTATTCTCAAATAACAGATTGTTACATGAGGCATGCCGGTTTACAGGCAAGATCGAATTGTTAAAGAAGTTACAATTTTCACTGTTGAAAATTACTCGGCTGGGTTGATATTTCATAAGATATGAATGTAAATGGATTTCATAAGAAACATGTCAATATCAATATCACACTTGGCGCACTTTATGGAGGTAGCGTTGCAACATATAACTGATGGTCGAGAATAGATACATGCTAAGTTGGGGGCTTTTAGAAGTTTCGAACTTATATCCCTCCAGAATATCGGAAGCATTAATAACGGTGTAGGACGAAGTCACCCGTGCCATATCTGTTTTCGGTGGAGTATCTGCAGGAGGCTGAAAAAGGTGTAAGAAAAAGGAAGGACGAAAAGCAGAGCACACAATATTCATGGAGGAATAGGTAAGGTATAACCATTTAGTCTATTTGTCTGTTACTGAAGTATTTATTAGGTAAGAACATACTAATGTGTTAAAGAAAAATAAGTGTGGGCAAGGTATGATTGGATAAGGAACTGTATAAATGAAGGTAGTTTAGAAGGAAGTATAGAATTGTGTAATTAACAAACTTTGGCAGAATGAGACTTACCACATCGCCAACATGACGTTTTGTGTTTCACTTGATTTGGGATTTTCTGGGAGTTCGAATCTTTATTTTCATTTAAAGATTTACATAAAGCATTAATTCCCACGTGTTCACTGTTCCTTTCTACGAGATTCGTGTCATGCTTCAAATTAACCATTCTTTGACACTCTTCAGATACTGATTGTAGACTGATATTAGGATCTTGTTCGATTCTCATTAGAATCCGTGCTCTAATATCTGCATCTACTGAAGATTGTAATCCACATACAAAAATAAGGCACTTGAATTGATCTGAGGACATTTCCTGTAATCGGAACCGCTCACATTCCCGGTTCACGATACTTGCATACGTTACGTAATCGTCCTGTACTTTTTTTACAAGTTGAAGACACTGGGGCGAGACTAAAGAACATGGACGACCTTTGAACGAATCTTAAATGACCTTGAGAAATATTGACCAATCAGAAGACAGTTAGCATACAATTAAAATATATTATACAAAACTCAAAAATTAAAGGGGATACTGTTCTTTTACATGCATCAAAAACTTATCAAGGTCAGATATAGGTTCAGAAGTTCTAAAATCATAGTGCATCCGGCACAGGAACTCATCCCTGTGGCTCCATAGTAGTCGACATCTGGAACCATGATAAAGTCCCGAAAATTCTTTCAGCCTCGATCACATAGTTTCAGTGTTGTCGGTTGTTAGTATGGTTTAGGGTTTAGGATTAGAGTTAAGGTTTAGGGTTACGGTTTAGGGTTAAAGATGAGACCATAAATAATGGACGACATTTGAGCGACGCTAGAGTGAATCTGAGAGTGTCAACGTAATAACTAAGACTAAATGAGGGCTATAAACCCGTGTGAAGATTTCAAATTATGATTTACAGTCCATGGTTAAGGTTATGAATTTTACTTAGGGTTTTCATAACGAACTGACATCAGCTATAATGCCACAACTCAATCCAAATATATAATTGAATTTTGCGCCAAAATCTTATGGTAACATATCTTGTAGACACTTAATTATCATGTTTTCTCTAAAATCCTTTGTAAATTGACCGTACGTAAGCGTCAGGTACCGAACTTAGCGCTGTGACCTTGAAAACCCGCGAAAGCTTCTGATTGGCTCGTCCATGTTCTTTAGTCTCGCCGACACTGGTATCTAGTGTGAAAAATTGATGACCGTTCACCAAATATACGAGTCAGGCATTCAACTGTTTCTTTGAACGTTATGTCGGATGGCTTCTTTGGGAGGATAAAATTACAGAATTTTTCATGTTCGGACACTCCGAGCTTTCGTAATAATAATCTCAATTTCGAACTTTCGTCCCACTCTTTACATTCATTAATAAATAAATCCTCATGGCGTTTAAACCATGCCTCAAAAGTAACTCCAATTTCTGGATCAAATCTAAATTCAGTTATTGAATTTGCAATAGAATCCGGAGTCATAGTGGAATTAGACACATCAGTTCTTGAGGATATCGACATATTTTTGACTAATAATTCGATAAGAGTATTTTGCTGTTGCAATAAGGTTTTCAGATCATCCATTTTCTTGATACAAAATTCACTTTAACTGAATACGTAAGCGTAGATCCGTTTTAAACACCGTCGCCAATGTTATAAACGTATGTATGCCGTCGCCAATGTTATAAACGTAGAGAGAGAGAGAGAGGATGCTGGTTATAACTTTAGGGGTTTCTGGTTATAACAGTCCTTTTACTTCTTACACGTATGTGGGACGTTAATTTATCTTAGACGAATATCTACACTAGATTCCCACCCAGTGTCTATTCTACAGGACTTCAACACAACTCAGATCAAGAACACGAGATTAGCCTGACTATAACGTCAATATATTTCACACCAAATCCGACACAAAGAACAGTCAATCAATAAGCATCCAACATCAAGGAACAGTCAATAAGTTAATAAGTGTCCATACATAATAAGGATAGGGAAATATATATATACATAACACCTGTCATCCTGTCTAATGTCTGACTCATCAAGACAACCAATCATTATCATTCTCGCCCACACATCAATAATAAAGTGCTGAAAACAGTATTCTGATACAAATGACTGTCTCTCTTTACTTTAGAAGCTGTTTGAACTCTCTTTTTTTGTTTTCAGATTTTATAGGGTATAGAGTGGGCTTCGTTTTTAGCCAATTGTCTAGTTTGCTTGTATTAGGATTACTTGGTAGGAAGTGGAACCAATTCAGCTTTTTTTAACATGATTCAAAGTGGTATTTTTCATGAATAATTTCGCATCAATACCGTTGGTTCGTGACATCCCACTTGACATAAGGAGCCGTAATTAATATGTTCTGCCCCACAGACACGGGTGGATTGAAGTTATCTCCCCACCATCATGTTTGCTGGTCAGTAACGCCACCCTCCCTCCTTTTATGATGTTAGGCTCTCTTACGTTTGTGGTCAGTATGAATATTGCTTTTATCAAGGACCATATTTGGAATACACTGTCTCTACAAGTTCCATGTTACAAGCAAATCAGATGGTAATAGCATTTGTATTATGGGTTAGATATCCATTTAATATATCGTACTACTATGAAGATAACTAATGGTAAAGGTTATAAGAGACAAGTCAGATTATATGTGGTTAAGAGATGGTAAGGGCTAATAGCAAACCAGAGGATAGTCAGTCAGTCAGTCAGTCAGTCACAACGTAGAACTTCGTACGTACGTACATCAGTTCGAGTTGCCATACCACATTGGCACAGAGATGCAGTTGTCGATTCAATTCCCATAGTGGTAGAAGTAGTAGGAGTATAATCAGAAATCCAAAAGATTAGGGTTTGAAGAAATTATTGAAGGAGTATAGTACAGTGAAATAAATTTGGAAAGAGAAAAAGATAAATACATGAGGAATTCAGAAGATTAGAATTTGGTAGAACACAAAGAGTGGATGCATCTTCGCCATTGCAAACGATTTTGAGCCATGTCATTCAAGGTCTCTAACCATCGGTTGCTGTCATCTCGCGAATCCCAACCAGGTAGTCTACACCTACCAACATGGCCCAGTCCACTTGTCAGTGACTTCATTGATTTGTGCCACGTTCTGGTCTGGTCACCCCTAGCTTTCTTCCAACCTACTCCTACACCATGAAACATTGCACGTCGGGGCAGTCGGTGGTTGGGCATACGTAACATATGTCCCAGCCATCTCAACTGATGAAGTTTCACTACTTCATCAATCGATTTGCCATCCCTACCTAGCACTCGTTTCCTAACAACTGCATTACTTACCCGGTGGTCCCAGGATATACGAGCAATGCTTCGAAGACACCTATGATCGAACACTATAGTCTACGAATATCCTCTACTCTTATTGGCCATGTTTCACTGCCATAAAGTAGGACGGAGCGAACTGCTGCACAGTAAACCCGTCCTTTGGTTGCTAGACGGATATCTCGCCTACTCCATAAATGACGCAAGTTGGCGAAAGCTAGAAGAGCCTTCTGTATCCGTGCTGAGATTTCGTCACATACCAGACCACAAGGGCTGATGAGACTCCCAAGATAAGTGAAGTGGTCTACACGCTCAACTACTTCACTCCCTATCATTAGTTCAGGTGTCGATGCAACCCAATCCTGAAGTAACATTTTGCACTTCGAGGGAGAGAATCGCATTCCGAACATGCCTGCATAGTTGCTTATAGTAGTCAGAAGACTCTGCATGTTGTCAGCGTCTTCACCGAGTAAAACTATGTCGTCGGCGCATTCTAAGTCAACAAGTGAGCCTCCTGGTAAAAGTTCAACTCCTGGAGGTTTAGCTGATGAAAGTGCTATCTCTAAAAGTATGTTAACGACAAAGTTAAACAAGAATGGGGAGAGTGGACAGCCCTGACGAACGCCACTTGTGGTAATCAGTTCTGATGACAGTTCGCCATAGGCTCTAACTCGACCAGTTGTGTTCGAGTAGAGAGCCTTTATGAGGTTAATGTACTTCTTTGGTACTCCTTTCAGTGACAAACATTGCCATAGAACCTCACGATCAACAGAGTCAAATGCCGCCTTAAGGTCAAGAAATACTACTATTGTGGGACGTCTGAATTTGTGTCTATGTTCTAGAACCTGACGTAGGGTGAATATCTGGTCTATGCAACCACGTCCAGGTCGAAAACCAGCTTGGTTTTCTCTAGTCTGCTCTTCACGAGCTTTGGTTAGGCGACCTAGTATTATTGAAGCTAATATTTTAGACACTATATTAGTCAAACTGATCCCTCTGTGATTGTCACAAGAGGACTTTTGTCCTTTCTTATAGACTGGCACAATCAGTGATTGGGACCAGTCAGATGGAATTACGTCCAGTTCCCAGATTCTACCTAAGACCTCAGTCAATCTCACTGCTAGTACTGGACCACCATCCTTAAAAATCTCAGGAGTCAACCTGTCAGGGCCTGCTGCTCTCCCTCGCTTCAGATTTCCTATAGCTTTTTCAACCTCACAGAGGGTTGGAGGACTTACATCAATTTGCCATTCAGGACGACTGGGGATCGTGGGAAACCAAAGTGTGGCTGAAGGCCAGTTGAACTGATCCCTAAAGTGTTCTGCCCATCGATCCAATCTCCTGGATTGAGAATGAATAATATGCCCATCTTTATCTGAAATGGTTTCACTGATATTCGGGTTCCTAATACCGGTTTCTTTAACGAGTCTGAATAGCTGCCTACTGTTACCTATTGCCGCTGCCTTTTCCATCTCTCTTGCTTTCGCTACCCACCACTGTTCACGATCATTACGTAGGCTTCTTATAAGCCTGCGCTTAAGTTGACTCCGCTCTTCGTTATGCTCAGAGCCAGGTGGGATGAGTTTACGAGCATCTATCAGTGCGGTAGATGCTGCTGAGATCCATTGTTTCTCCCTAACGTTATGGTTTACCTTACTAGCGGATATCACTGCTGTTTCCACAGCTTTTCGGATGTCATTCCACGCTGCCTCGGGGTGGACACAACTTACATGGCTGCCTAACTGTTTTCCTAGTTGTTCCTGAAATATATTCTTAGCTTGCCTATCATTAAGTAGAACCCTTAGAGGCTTCCCTGCAGTGTCTTTCCTACGACCAGTAAGACGCAGACAGATACGTGCTCGCACTAGAGCATGATCTGAATCTAAACATGTGCCCCAGAATGAGCGACAGTCTTCTATCGAGCCCCTCCATCGGTGGCTGATAGCGATGTGATCTAATTGGGTCCAACGTTGGGACGAATTCGGGGGTCGCCATGTCAAAAGATGTTTTTCCTTATGCTTAAAGTTAGTATTTGCAAGAAATAGGTGGTTATCTGAGCATAGTTGCAACAGACGGTCGCCATTATCTGTTCTTTTCGCCATGACACCATAAGATCCACCCAGGTGTCTTTCCCTTTCACTTAGTTTACCTACTTGAGCATTAAAGTCACCTGCTACTATTACTACATCAGAACGCCTAGCTTTTCGGAGGTCAGAAAGTTTCCTGTAGAACTCATCTTTTATATCGTCTGAGCTGCAGTCAGTTGGAGAGTAGGCAGAGACGACGAAGAGGCAACGACGAGCTTCCCTATCTTTCCGGGTCCTTACTGATCCGTTTAGTCGGACAGCGCATAGACGACTGTCTACTGGGATCCAGTCTAAAAGAGCTAGTTCTGCCCTAGGACTTAATGCTATACCTACTCCAGCGAGGCCACGGGAAGCAGCATCAGGGCTTCCAGATACACGAAGCGTGTATCGAGATGAAACTTTATTTTGATTAGGTGCGGTCAAATGAATGACACTACTCGGATCTTGTATGCGCGTTTCGGAGACGCAGCACACATCGATGGTGTAAGATTCTAGAGTCCTAGCTAAGGAAGCCTGTTGTCCTATTTGGCACAATGTTCGGACATTAAAAGTTCCTATATGTAGTTTAGAGCGTGGTTTCAGGAGACCAGGAATAACGTTCTGTGTACTCGAATCGTTTGCCCTAGCGGTGCGAGGTGATAAAAGGACGTGGGAAGGGTTAGTCGTGGAGATAACAGAGTTATTAGGTGTAGGAAGGATTTGAAAGCGACCAACTTGGTCTTGTGTGCAGTTAGGGGTATGAGGGCTAGTATCACTTCCCGGCTGCCCACACCGTGGAAGGGTATTTCTTGAGGGACCTGAAAAAGAAGTTGGATTAGTGTTGGTCTTAACGACTTGGGAGCGTGACCGCAGTGCCCAAGGGACATCTGCTTGAGGCCGGTCACGCACGGCCTTTTTGTGGGGGATTTTTGATGTGTTAGCTCCGTTCTTCAAAAGTCCTTACCGCCGGAGACGGAAATCCGTGGGATAAGGCGAGGTGTGCATTTTTAGGGTCGACCTTTTCTAACCCCACCCCTCCTTGTGGGAAGGCAGCATCGCTGTCATGCTGGTTGTCTGAAGGAAACACCTTACTGCTTTCACACCTCTGTACAGTCAGCAGTACGACTTCGCCTTCGGACCTTGGGATTGCTGCTTTTAGTCTCACCGCTCTTCAACCGACCTGTCTGGCATGGTAGGACCTTGAGGAACGATTGTTCCAGCCAGCATAGCTCGATTGGTTCATCACGATAGGCAAGCCCGACCACCACGTCAAGGTAGCAGCAACGGTCGAGGATATGATAGTAAATATTGTAAAATTTTCAGGTTAAGAAAATGAGGGTTAGGAGCGGAAGGCCGTGGTTAATAATCAATAAATAATGGGGAAGGATAAAGCATGTTTTCTTTTGTTTTGCTATACTCATACTAACGACAATGGAGTTCGTTATAATCTTGTTCCGTCTAGATATTGGGCGGTCCATAATAAAGTGCCTCATTGGTAGGCGGGAGTTCAAGGAATAGTTGGTGAAGCTCTTTAGAGTTTAGTAACAGGGTTATTAGCCTTTTAAATTTGGTAAAGGTGTCACAGTTACGGATAGGTATTGGCAACCTGTTCCACAATAAACTATACCGAACTGTAGAAAACCTACAACGCATTTGTTTTTGGTGTTTTTCGGTAAATAGTTTATATGCATTGTTTCTTAGTCTATAGGCAGGGTCATTGATCATAGTTGGACAGGAGGTGAGGAATGACAGTCCATTTATTGCTTTGTAGAGAAATATCAGATTGTTCCTTAATCGACGGTGCCATAAAGGTTCTAAAGAGAGGTGCTTACATCTACTTGTGTAATCAAGAGTGGTGTCACTTCCTAGCAGTTGGCGTGTAAAGCGTCTCTGAACATCTTCTACTCTTATTTTGTCAGTGGTATTCATATTAGAGAAGATAAAAGAGCAGTATTCTACGGAAGGTCGTACACATATTTTGTAGAGAGTAAGCTTGGCATCTGTCGTGAAGAAACTTTTTGTTATGAAGCCAATTAGACGTCTGGCTTTAGAAATAATAAAGGAGGCGTGTGCTTTAAAGTTTAGGCTTCCTGTGTAATTTATTCCTAGATCGTGTACTGAATTAAGTGTCTGGACTTTACTTTTATTTAAGTAAAGTTGGGGTTCATAGGGGTGCTTTCCAAAGTGCATGATCCCGTATTTGTGAAGGTTAAATGGTAATTGCCACTTTTCGCTCCAGATAGGTTATTGAGATCATCTTGAATCAGGCGTACACTTTCACTTAGAACCTGAGGCTTATAACTGTATACTATTTTGAGATCATCAGCATATAAGTATGGTTTCCCAGATTTTATGATGTTACATATATCGTTTATATACATGAGAAACAAAAGTGGGCCCAATACACTTCCCTGGATGACGCCACTAGTTATTGGTCTAGGTAATGAGAGACAGTCTTTGTACTTTACCATTTGTTTACGTCCTTTTAAGAATGAAACAATCCATGAATAGAGTGGGTTGTTGATTCCGAAGGACCGTAGTTTGGCTAGTAGCCGTTTGTGTGGAACCTTATCAAAATCTTTCCTAAAGTCTAAAAATATGACTGATACAAGGAGTCCATTGTCTCGTTTCAGAGTTATATCATTCATGTAGTCCACTAGGCATGTATCACATGATCTGGACCTAAGAAATCCATGTTGGGAGACCGAGATGAGATTATTAGTAATTACATGTTGGACTAACGCCGCTTTAACTACTTTCTCCATCACTCTAGACACCACTGAAGTTATGTTTATGGGTCGGTAATTTTCAACATTTGCTTCAGGTCCTGTTTTAATTTTGGGAATGATGTGTGTAGTTTTCCTAGCAGTAGGGTAATGTGCTGTAGAGAGTGATATTGCAAATAGTTTGAGTAATAAAACACACATATCATCGCCTCCACGTTTTAGCATGCTAGCCGGAATACCATCTGGTCCATCAGTGTAGGAGTGTTTCAATGTACTAATTGCCTTAGAGATATTCTGTACATTGAAGTCTACGTTAGTAATCTCACAGGCAGATGCTGTGATAAGTTCTGAATCATTAAGTGGTTTTTCATCAGTTAATGAGGAACAAAAGTGTTCATTAAATAGTTCCGTAACAAGTTTAGGATCTTCGTATACTTGTTTGTCTTTAATAAATATGTTTCCTCTCGACTTAGAACGTTTAAGTTTATTTCGAAAGAGTGTGGTGAGTGCCGAGGAGTTATTACTAAGTTCGACAGCACGTTTTTCCTGTTCGATTGCTATTTGTGTACTTATTGTGTCTGTCTGGACAAGTATTTCTGTCATCGTTACTAAAGAGGAGAAGTCATTAGAGTTGTGGAAGCGAGTACAATGTCTCTGCAGACGTCTTCGTGTACCGACCGGTATAAACAGATCTTTAGAAAACTCAGGTCTCCAGTACTCTAAAGGTGCGATTTTGTTCATGATACTTTCGATGTTGTGATAAAATATATTGGTTAGTGTGTCGGTATTGTTTGCAGTAAAGAATGTTCCCCAGTCAGTGCTTCTTAGGTAATTGTGAAAATTATTCCAATCTACCTTACGATAGTTTCTACGAAGGGTTACATTTTTACGTCTACCGTTTGTGTTTTTTATATTAAGACTACATACGACAGTGTTATGATCACTACCTGGGAACTTTTTTCCAATATACACAGTATTGGGGGTGATGCCACTGGTAAAGACTAAGTCCAAGATATTTTGATGTCTGGTAGGGCTACTAACATATTGAGTCCACTGTCCTAGTTCTTGACATTCAATAAATGATTCATAACGTTTCGGAGCTTTGACTGGAAACCAAGAAATTTCAGGCATGTTGAAGTCACCACAAATGAGCTTGCCTGTGAATGGAAGGTATGATGCTAGTGTGAATACCTCTGATAATACTGCTATTTCACCTATTGCCAAGTTAGGTTGCTGGTAGATACAACCGAACAGTAAGGTAATGGAATTTGATGGCTTTAAAACAATCCACACCGAGTCCTTCAGTTTGTTTAGTTCAGGTATATCGCATATTAGTGAGTTTAAGCTAGAGTGAGCATAAATAAGGCATCCTCCGCCTCGTCCTTTCAATCTATCGCTTCTATATAGGAGGTAGTTATCAAGAGATATACTTAGATCGGAAATATTACTGTTAGTCCATGCTTCAGATATCATTATAAGTGATGGTTAATATATGGAAGCAAACAGAGCTAAATCAGTTTTTTTTATTGCAGATCGACCTAGCATTGATAAGACACATATTAAACAAGTGGCCTACTAAGTTAAAGTGAGAGAGAGTATCTCGATTAAAGATGTCTTGAGCCTCGCGTGAGTGATGTATGTTTGAAGTAATGGATTTAGTGTTTTTCAATAGCTCTGTATTTTGATAGCTAGAGTTACTGGGGCATGTATCAAATGAGCTAGTGAAGTTGCTTGGGGAGTTTATCCAGGAGGAAAGGGTGGCAGTACTTTCTGATGCGAACTGTACGGGGGAAGCGAGTTTATGTTCCGCACTTGGTTTGAAATGACTAGGGCTATATGCTTCAACAGGGGTGCAACTAGGGGCCTTATTACGGAAGTTATGTGTGTTATTTACTTTCCATCGGCTGCATTGTCTAACAATATGATGAGCTATTTAGTTTATTTATTTCGTAATTGATTAGGCTTACCTGTAAGAGTTCGCCTTCTGAAATTAGCCAAGATCCAGATTACATCTGCTCGAAATTGTTTTTTGAGTCTATGCGAACAGAAGAGGACGCCCCTGTCCAAAATTATCCCTTATTACTGACTGGAATAACGAATATCTACAGAGTTGAAAAAACATAAATAATTTTTATTATTGGTGTTGTAAGTAGAACTTAATAAGTAGCACTTAATAATTAATAAAAGAAAGTTACTTCTTTCGATAATACTTCAATAACTGAAGAAAGGACTACAAACTATTTAAGACCTACCGGTTACTCGACATTTCGTCCTAATTCTTGAGGATAACAACGATTCACACAAACTCAGGGTACCCATGACTGCTAAGTTATTCTCAATACGCTGTTTTGTCGACCCCAACAAATCTTAAACAAGGAAAGTGAGGTTCAGTAGGGTAATTAGTATCCCAGGTCAAGTTACGAAGCAACAATGGAGCCAAATTGTACACTACAAAACATAGAAAGCTTAATTACCATCTTCCGCATTGATTTCGCAAATTTGTTGCAGTAAAACACGACTAAAATATGAGAAAACTTGATATTCCAGAAATTCAACGGATACCCAAAAAAAGCGCGCTATTCGAACGGGAGTTCATGATCGACATTGCCTTCGACGAGATACCAGTGTCAAGATGGACTTGACGAAGAACCTTGTAGGTGTAGATAGCATAACTCTCCTCCTCTTCTTCTTCTTATCAACCTTCGGCAGCTTAAACTTCGAGGCCTTCTTGGCAGCTTTACCAGACACAACTTTAGGAGGCATCGCTTAGTAGACGAACGCGTTTAGTCCTAACGTGATTTACATTTCTCAAACTTTTGCTGTGTTCTTACGCAACAAAAGTGCCATTACCAATCTAAAGAATCTATTCTGAGCTATACGTTCGGTAGATTACTTCTATTTTTTGTGTTTCACTCAAATTAATAGTTAACTGTGGTTTTGCCTCAGCTCACTATCGGTTTTTTTATAGTTTTCACGTAAAGGCTAGCTTTAGCTTATCGTTAACTGTTTTTATACGTTTTTGCCAGTTTTTGTTTACTGTGTGTTTTTTAACGGTCCTAAATTTACTGCTTGTATTTTTAAGACAGTCTGAATCACTAGCCATTAAAAATTCATGCAAGAGACCTGGTTGCCGTTTTGCCGTTGCATTTGGAATCCAATGTGACAACTGTAAAGGTTGGTTCCATGAGGCATGTACAGATCTAACAGCAGCAGCCTATAGCAGACTCAGCAGGTCTGATCGTAGGTGGGTATGTGTTACCTGTGTAGGGTCACTGAATATCGAACAGATCACTGATCCCTGTCAAGGTCGAGGATAGTCAACGCGCACAAACCAATCGTACGCCATGGACTGGCCCACGCGGCAGTGGTTATTCTTTCACTTCTGTACTTCCGTAGTTGTACCTTAACTAATATATTCTTGTCATAACGTCCTTTGTGTTGTACAGTCTCCATAGTATCTATTATCCTTTGATGCGTCGATGGTTCAATCCACGTAAGGGCTGGTCGCGAGGTGTGACTTCAGCGTTAGTTGGTTCGTCCCCATTCTCGTCTAACTATAGTAGGCCCCCAATCATTTCGACATAGATCATCAACGTAGACGATCTTACACCTGCAACACCGATACGGTAGTTATGTTGGGTACTATCATTACTTTACTGACAGGTCTGAGAGATAAGTTGTCTAAGAATTCGGTAAATGATAGCATCATGACGGGTAACAAAGCTGGATCGCATAGGGCAAATAAGAAAAATGATACTGACAGGTCGGTTATCGACGGTGCTGTTAACAGCACGAGTGATGATGTGCTGAAGCTCAGCACCATCTTAATATCGACTCCAGTAAATTTGGGTCCCCCAGGGAACGGTCCTTGAATGAGACAGTGGTTCCCAAAAATCCTGTAGGTGGATGGACTCACGTTAACAGGAATAATAAAGCCCAAGCGTCCCCGCCGAAACTGAACGTCCCAAGTATCGTGCGGAAATCAATTGATGCTTCGGCCGCACAGTCTACACACAAGACTGTCCGCCCTGTCATCACTGAGCCCAGGAATCGAAAACGCGCCTCGACATCCAAACAACAAGATACCAAACCTAGACGCCCTGGGAAATCAATTGCGGTTCGTGACGACTCTGTCATAATCATGAACCTTATTGACAACCCCGACCTTCCTCTCATTCTGCAGGACAAAAACGATAGGATGCTCTGGGGAGAATTAAACAAGAGGCTTGAACTCCCTAGAATAAGGCCGTTGACCGTCACACGGCTCACTCGGGGGAAGGACTCTAACCACCTAAACCACCCGAGGTTGCTTCGTGTTACACTTAAGAATGCCTCTGACGTAGAGGACGTCCTGCTAGCCAGTCACTTACTGAAGTCCGATGGGAACGTAAGAATACTGCCCGACATACCGTATTCTGAACGAAATCTCATCCGGAACATCCCTAAGGAATCTCGCGAGGCGTTTTTCCGTGGACGAAATATCATTGTGCAAGGTGTGCCGGAAAATATGGACCCAGCTGAAGCAAACTCTGATATTCGGGAATGGAAATTCATCAAGCATTCCTTAAAACTCAAGAACATATTGACCCAACAGGTAATGAGACTGGCCAAGAGAGACGGAGACTCTAGGCCCCGGCTGCTGAAGATAACCTTCCCCTCCTCCCACATGGCGGATGCAACTCTGGAGGCATTTCGTGCCAATAGACGTCGGTTGTCAACTGGCATCTATATGCATCCGGATAGGCCCCACGACAGCAGGATCAAGCACAAACAAAAGCTGGAGCTGACAATTTCACTCGTGGACTGTCTTGATCATTAAAAAAAACGTGTAAAGGACAGGGACTACCAACTCAGTTAACATCGTATAGGTAGACTACCTGTCCACTCACACACGGTTCATATAGACAAACAAAAAGAAGCTCACGCGTTCCAAATTGGAAGCATAAACTGCCTATACACGAACGCCGCGAGCTTGCCAAACAAAATGGATGAGCTACGTGAACTTAGCAACGCTAATGATGCCCATCTGATAGGAATATCCGAAACTTGGATAACGTCTCAGTTTACGGACCAAGAATTAGCAATAACTGGGGTGTCTTTATTCCGCAACGACAGAAAAACAGGAATGGAGGGTGGGGTAGCACTATACATACGGTCATGCCGGGATGCGCACCAACTTCACAACCAAGAGTTTCACAATCTTGACGAGTCAGTATGGTGCTCAGTAAGATTATCTACCACCTCGAGGTGCCTAGTTGGGGTCGTTTACAGGAAGCCCATTGCCGACATCGAATATGACAAACGTCTGCTGGAAGGATTAACTCGCTCTACGCGTCTCGGATTCTCTCATATCCTGATTCTAGGGGATTTCAATTTCCCTAGAATCAACTTCGTGGAACATACATACATTGGTGGTGCCAACTCTACTGAAGCTCTCTTCTTCAACCTTATCGGCGACCTGGGATTATTTGAAAATGTGAAGTCGGCAACCCGTTGGAGAAACAGTCAGACGCCGTCACGCTTAGACTGGGTATTCACAAATGAAGAATTCCTAGTTGACGACCTCTCAATCCTGGCTCCCCTGGGGAAAAGTGATCACGCCGTCTTATCATTCAGCTTTGTCAGCAAAACTTAGCTACGATATCTTACTAGCAACAAGCGCTGGAACTTCAAACGGTTGAATGTGTTAGCTTTACAGGACTATCTACAACAGGTGGATTGGGATGTTCACCCTCAAATTGAAGTGGATGCTCATTGGGATTTTCTACTGCACACGATCTTATGTGCTACTGAGCATTCAGTTCCTAAAATGGTCCCAAAAAGCTACAAGCAACCTCCAATCATCAAGAACCGCACTCGTCGTTTGCTAAGCGGCAAAAGGCACTGTTGGGCTGAATATAAACGAACAGAGAACAACGGCGCGTACAGGCAATACAAACATATAAGGAACATATGCACAAAGGCAATAAGAGAAGACAGGCTTCAGTTCCAGACCAAGCTTATCGATAGATTCGTCTCCAATCCGAAAAGCTTGTTCAGTTATGCAGCTTCTCTTCGACAAGGCAAAACTGGAGTTTCCCAACTGCTTGGTCCTAATGGCCCGACCAATAACGACAGTGATGCCGCTAACCTTTTGGCTGAACAATACTCCCGGACATTCCAGATGACCCACATCAACCATACTAACGAAAGCTTCACCTGCAGCTGTACAGGATTTTCCGAAGTGGACCTGAGTGCTGACCTGGTGCTCCGTAAACTGCAGAACCTAAGAAAGGACACTTCTCCTGGTCCGGATATGGTTCATTCCGCTGTATTGAGGGAAGCAGCTTCAATCCTGGCGACACCACTTAGCGTGATGTTTGCACACTCGCTAAGCAGAGGCAAACTACCGGAAATATGGAAGCTGGCCCACACCACACCAATTTTCAAAGGAGGTCGACGCAGTGAACCCTCAAGCTACCGACCAGTGGCCCTTCTCTCCATACCTTCAAAAATTATGGAATCCCTAGTATTCGACGGCATACTAGAACACTTATCATCCTCAAAGTTCTTCTCGCCTCAACAGCATGGTTTCAGAAAAGGTCATTCTTGTATGACCAACCTGCTGACTGCGGTGGATAGATGGACAACCATCCTTGATCGCAAGGGGAAGGTTGACGTCATCTACCTGGACTTCTCAAAAGCTTTTGATAGGGTCAACCATGCATGTCTTATCAAGAAACTCGGACGGTTGGGTATAAAACCCCCTTTAATTGACTGGACCGCTTCATATTTAGAAAACCGACACTTTAAGGTCAGGGTTAACTTCACTCTCTCTCAGGCTATGGAATGTCCTAGTGGGGTCCCCCAGGGTTCAATACTAGGACCTCTTGTCTTCTCTTCTTGATTTATATTAACGATCTTCCTCAACAAGTTTCATCTGACTTATTGCTTTTTGCTGATGATGTGAAACTTTGGAGAGAGATACGTAATCATAATGATATACTAGTTCTTCAGGAGGATCTGACTAGACTTCAAAGTTGGGCAGACGACAACGGACTTACCTTCAACACTTCAAAGTGCAAGGTAGTCCATCTGAGACATGTTGCAGACTATAGTTATAACTTAGGCAACTCCCCTCTAGAAGTTTCACAAGTCGAAAAAGATTTAGGAGTGTTGGTACCCTACGACCTGAAATCATATGCGAACTGTGACAAAAACGCCTCTCAAGCAAACCTTGCACTGGTAACATTGAAGCGGATTTTTGGCCAGTTTGACGGTAGAACCTTCCATATAATCTTCAACAGTTTTATTCGTCCCCGCTTAGAGTACGGAAACAGTATTTCCTCCCTCCCTCCAAAAGGATAAGGTCACTCTGGAACGTATACAACGTCGAGCCACAAAATCAGTTCGCGGTCTCAAATTCAAACCTTATGAAGAGCGCCTCAAATCACTTAACCTTTACCCGTTAGAGTATAGGCGTCTTAGAGGTGATCTTCTTATGACTTATAGTATCCTTAATACTTCTGGTCATCCCCTTAAACAACTTCTTAAGCTTAGTCATAACACTAACCTCAGAGGTAACACCCAGAAATTGGAGACCCTACATAGCAGAACAGACTGCAGACACAACTTCTACTCCGTTAGAGTTGTCAAGTGCTGGAATTCGCTGCCGACTGAGCTAGTCCAAGCGACCTCCCAGGAGTCCTTTAAGAGGAAACTTGACTTATTCTTAAGGACTAAGGATAACATATTATTATGATTTACCAAACTCTTTTTTTCCTCTATTATCGTTCAGATACCTAGGTTCTTACATGGAGGTATTGGTGATCCACTGCTACCAGACACGGAAGCCCGTTAAGCGAAAGCTTCTTCTATTCTGTCCTCAACCATTTGAACCATTTGACCGTCAACGAGCGTTTCTTGACGGGCCGTTCAAGGTCGTTGGAACGAAACGGCGGGTGGCTTCGAAAGGGTTTGACTTTTACCGTGCCGCTGTGCAACTATGGTTGTGCACGGTTCTAACAGAAGTGACTTTCAGCTCACCATTTATTGCACAGACCCAAAATAAAGATTGTCAGTCGCAATATTTAGACCTGTATTGTATACTCATTTGAAATGAAACATACGTAGATGAGCGACGTCGCGTTCTTTGTTCAAGTTGTGGCTGTGAGTTAGAAGATGCACGTTCGTGACGGAAAAAGTACTGCGGAGTTGGGTCATTGTTGTTCTTCTTACCTACTGACACGACATACGTGTGCATATAGTGTAAAAATAATCATCAACCACAGAAGTCATATTCTGCTATGTACTTCTTTCACATGGGTCTCAAAATTGTCCTAACTGGTAAATCGTCGCAATAACATAATATCACTGCAGATTCGTCATCACGATGGCATCGCTTTCGTTGCTTGAGGGATGGACGTAACCAGACATAGTGTGGCTGACATGAAAATAAAATTTAAGTGTCTTGATTTGACCGCTTCTGAAAAATCTTATGACTTGTTGGAGTAGCACGTCGATCGTTTTGCGATCGTCCGACCTGCAAGTGCTCATTACCCTACATCAGTGAACCATACCACTTAAGCCTTTCCAGCTCCTCCTTGTCCCCCTGTTTTTGGAATAGTAGAAACTTCGATTAAGATGTTTCTACTCCCTTTTTATTATAACTAAATTGTTGTCCATTGCATTGTCTTCATTGTTTGATTGCTTTGCGTAATTACTGTCACTACGAAATTTCAGTTTTACCGTTTTCTGTTACTAATTGCATCCTATTTGTGGTTAATCTTTTGCAGTGCAACGTCATCCAACTTTTTTTTCATTAAAGTACTGTGATGATCATCACATAAAGAGGTGACATGATCATAGTGTATCTTTTGTCTCAACTAAATTGCCATTTATGACTTGTTAGACTGTCATTTTTAAGTCATGCATTTTTACTGTAAATATTACTTAAAAAGACTCCACCAGGAGTTCTCGAAATAAAAGGATTACACAAATTACGTGGTAATGACTCGTATTTGCATATGAGCCAAAGATTTGATAAAAATTCATGTACTGTTGTAAGGTGTATAATTCACAGTCTTTTTAGACATAAAATTTTTGATCATTAAAATAATAGTGGTCCTCATGAATCGATTGTCAAGAAATTCGTCCGAAATAAGGTCTTAGTTATGGTGGTTATGATGGGACTTCCATATTTTTCCCGAATATTTATTTGGGATGTGTTGAAAGCCTGATGACTTTGTAGTTGTTCATGCACTACTTAGTTTAATCACAGTAACATATAATTCAAATAGTAAATAATTGGTTCCTGTTTCATAATTATGAAAACAAGCACTAAAATTCCTGATAAGTAAAGGATGTCTAATTATTGATTGTAGAAACTAACTGTTATTGAGCTTTTTTCGTCTTTATTAACTAGTTTCGGAGAAATTTCAAAGACATATGCAGTTTTCTAACTACGGGCTAATATTTATCCTGGTCTATTACTACTAGTAAGTAGAAATAAAAATCAGAATGCATCATAGAAATATAGAATTACTTGACCAATGCATTTCGCCTGGATTGATGTTATTTCTTACACTCAGTCTGGTTCCTACTTGTTAGTTCATCAGCCTTATAAAGAATTTAAGCGGGAAAAGAACCCTTGAAACGTATCTGCTAAGTATCACATCCATCAACTCATTAACAACAACTGAACATGTTTCGTATCAGTTGTTATTTTAGACAGATATCACTCATTGTCAATTTATAACTATATGAGTTTAGATGTATCTTTTATTGAAGAGATACCCTAATGGATAAAGTACATAACGTTTAGTTATCAGTCGGGAATTTTTAAATCCGCATCATCTTTGGTTTAAGCAACTAGCTAATATTATTAGCACTTTACTGTCGCTCAAAACCTTGTGCACTAACATGTACTTGAATGCTAAGTTTAATCGTCATAATATTAGTGACACTACACCCGTTAACCAAAATATTTTAAGGTAGGGATTAGTATGAACATCTTGAACAGAATCACATGACATCTCTTAGTCGAAGAGATCGTTATTGAGTCAAGATTTAATACATGTACCCGAAAACCAGCAAGTCGGCATCCTTATCTGAAACCTACGTGGCTTGTCTCTTATCGCCTAAAAAAAGCACTTGCAACAGTTGTTTCAGACGTGCCAATAATATCCCAACAAAAACCCTAAATAACACGCGTCTTACGTCCACCAAATACATAATGTTGCTCCGGAACATTTTTGTCATTAACAACTAGTTTAGAATTGAAATGTCAAGTGATTGGGAGTACAAACCATTTTATCGGTTTAGCAAGTTGTTGGCAAAATATACTTATATATCTAGACAAATCAGTTAACATTCCCCAATGTAAGGCTATAGAAAAATGTTCACCGAAGCGCGAAATAAATTCATAGCAGTTCGTTCTGAGTTTCTCTAATATTGTCATATATGACCGTTAATTACTGAAGTTGTTAAAATATTTTATGTTTAATGATACATGTTTCGTAATCAATCATCGTATTTGGCGAAACCACCGAGTGAATTGAAAGCAAAATCAGTCAGTAAGTTTGCGAAAATTCTATGACTGAATTATACATCATGTGTAACGTACCACCCTACTGCCTACCGAGACCTGCGATGCCGGCTAAAGCAGAATACAGTTGAAAAAACCAACGTTTTGCGCGACACGAGTTCATAAAACCGTTCACTTGATTTGAGGATGATAAAGATCGGTAGTTGGTAGCCACTGATAGTACAAACCTAAAAAATATTTTCGTTTTATCGTAAACAACTCGCCCTATTTATTTTCTGTTTTCAATTCATACCACTCTCGCCTAATAATATAGCTAAATTTGTACTGAATTTCTTCCTAATATTGTATGGCTCTCCTAATTAGTGAGTTCGCCTTCTGAATGAAATTCCGAAGTGCCAGATATGCACTTACGATCCCCTAAGTTTTCATCATATATGGGCTTTATTAACAACTTCATGTATCCTTGGTGTCGTAGCTGATTAGGACATCTGTCGTTTCTTCACTAACTTTCTGAAATATCAACTAGGCTGCATGAACACCTACTAGTCGTCACCTCTGTGTGTTGTTGGTCTTTTTAAGTTTCTCAAGAAAATTTTCTTGGCTTAAACATAACAGCCTTTTTTAGTGTTTTAAAACCTATACCCAACCATCCCAAAATCTATACATGGTCCATCCAAGTGATCGTTTCTCTGTGCGAATTAGACAAAAAATTTTCAACAGGTTTTATGTAATGCATTGGTTTGACTGCCCTGATATTCTTTTTTTTCTTTGGTACGTTTTCTCACTTAATCTCGACATTTTAATCGTCTTTCTCAAACATACTGAACCTAAAGTGTTCTTCCGAATAATTGGGGGATATTTTATTAGTATACTTAAGTTTCCTACTTATTTTATAATCAATTAAACACCTTAACCTGATCATCTTTTAATTCCGTTTAATCGGGTACTTTGATTGTTTCCAATTAATTTAAATCGTTTGGTACTAAGTGATTCGGACATATAACCATGAGACTGAAAGTGAACCGCAGATAGTGAATTTAAATAAATTATACATGAAACTCATAATTCTCTATTATCTAAGTCAAAACTCTCAGTTCTCTAAACAAACTCTTTATTTGTCGTGAATACGTAAATTATGTGCCATGTATCTGAGTATGTTCTGTGTTATACATGAATTGAAAATTGTTTAGGCCTCTCGTGGGAAAACTGTGGTTGATTTCACTGGCCGTTTAATTAATGGGAGTTTACGATATCGTACGTCTGATGAACTACAATCAACTTTTTCAACACCACCCCCGCAGGACTCTCGAAAACGTGACAAAGACTCTGATGAATGTTCAAAAACCTGGGCTTCAAGGTTAAAGCAACTTCCATGTTATCTACAGCTGCCTCCTATATCTCTACCTGCTCGACTAGATGCAGTGGCTATCGACTATCTCCGAGAGAACTCTCTTTCTCCCCCGAAAGCGATCGAAGATCGTTCTAAAATTCTTACAAATTACCTGTGGTCGCGCCCTCTTATATCTGAGGTAAACAGATACTACTATTCATTTGTTTATGTCATGAATATGTTTTTACATCGCCTAATTTTTCGACGCCAGTTTTTAAATGCAAGTTATAAGACTGAACTTCAGTGACGGCTTTTTAAATTCTACCATAGGGAAAAGTTATCCGGAAATCATCGAAAATTCAGGACTCATGGGACTTGGATTCATGTGATGAAGACGAAGGTCTGATGTTCGCTCTGAAGAACTTTACTTCTCAACATGAAGCCCAAATTAGTAGAGAGTTGGATTTAAAGTCATGGAAATCACTAAGGTAAGCTTTCACCTTATCCACATCGCATTCTTATTAAATAATTTAAGGTGTTTGATTTTATCTATGGAATACTCGTTTATGTTGGTAGAGATTTATTTTATTTATTTATTTATTTAAACACATATATATTGGTACAAAAGGGCACCAGGTACATATGCGCCACACAAAATAATGAAAGTAGGAAGAGAAGGGATGAAAAGATAAGGCGGACTGAAATGTACAACCAGAAGACTCTTTCAGTTAAGAAAGTTAGAACCATTCTTTATGTAGAAAGTAAAAGAAGGTTGCAGCAGGATCGCCACTGGCTTCTATTCTGAGCCATATATGATAACGTCTCTAGCCACTGTGTTGCACCATCTCTCGGACCCCAACCAAGGAGTCGTGAAGGACCAACAGAAGCTAGCCCTTTGCAGCTTTCTTTCATGCCACGACACCATGTCATACACTGACCTCCTCTCCGCTTTTTCCAACCAGTCCCAGGGTCGGCAAATAATGCACGACGTGGAAGTCTCTGGGACGACATTCGTAAAACATGTCCAAGCCACCGAAGTCGGTGTTTCAAGATGGTGACACCAATTGAATTATCGTCTCTGTGCCCGAACACACGATGCCGAACCTCTGCATTACTAACATGGTGTTGCCACTGGATGTCAGCAATCCTTCGGAGACAACGATGATCGAACACAGAGAGACGTCTAACATCCTCAACTCGGAGAGGCCAGGTTTCACAAGCACAGAGCAAAACTGCTCTCACCGACGCTTTGTAAATCCAACTTTTTACAGCCAGACTAACATCACGAAGGCGCCAAAGATGGCCCAGATTGGCATAAGCCGATCTGGCTTTCCTTATACGTGCATCAATCTCATTACTCACGCCACCACCAGCACTTATATAGCTACCTAGATACACGAACTTCTCAACTACTTCGATCTGCTCACCATCCAGGGTGAGTACAGGATTAGAATCCTGCCAGTCTTGTAGAAGTACTTTGCACTTGGAGGGTGCAAAGCACATGCCGTACCTGCGGACACTGATTGCCAACTGATTAAGTGCTGATTGCATGCCTTGGGCATTATCGCACAGTAAGACAATATCATCCGCATACTCAAGGTCGAGAAGTCGTTCTCCAGGCAACATATCCACACCACCATTACTTACATCCATCAGAGCTGTTTCTAGGATGTCGTCGATGGCAAAGTTGAAGAGGAATGGTGAGATCGGGCAACCCTGCCTAACCCCACTGCTCGAATGGAACAAGGGAGAAAGGTGGTTGTATGCCCTCACTCTGCCTGAGGTGTTCGTGTACAGAGCCTTTAAGATGTTAATGAACTTCTCAGGCACACCCTTCTTCAATAGACAATCCCAGAGAACAGTCCTGTCCAACGAATCGAAGGCCGCCCTGATATCAAGAAACACTACGATTGTTGGCCTGCGATAAGTATGACGGTGTTCTAACATTTGGCGGAGGGTGAAGATGTGATCAATGCATCCTCGACCAGAACGAAAACCAGCCTGCTCCTCGCGAGTCAATTGTTCTCGGGTTTTAAACAACCTACGAAGAATGATAGAAGCCAATAGTTTGGACGCAATCGGAAGTAGACTTATCCCCCGATAGTTATTACAGGAACAACGCGAACCCTTTTTAAAGATAGGGACGACTATTGACTCATTCCATGATGTTGGAACACTTTCTTGCTCCCAAACCTTTCCAAACAACACAGTCAATTCCTTAGTCAGAAAGTCGCCACCATCTTTAAAAAGAGCCGGAGGTAAGTCATCTGGGCCAGGTGGTTTGTAGGGCTTCAAGAGTTGGAGTTCCTTGCGGACTTCCGCCTCGTTTGGTGGAACAGTCGTCACCGGTCATGGGGGGGCAGGACAAGCTGGTTGATGTTGCCGGAGCAGCAGGCCAGTTGAACTGCCCTTCGAAAAATTCCGCCCATCGTCCAAGACGTCGGGAGATGTTAGTGATTGGCATCCCATCATCCTCGTAGATTGTTTCACTCACACCAGACTTCTTGCTGCCAGTGGCTCGGATGAGTTGGAAGAGCTTCCGGCAGTTACCAGATGCAGCTGCTGCTTCCATCTCATTAGCACGCTCCGACCACCAGGCTTCTCGGTCCTTACGCAAGCTTTGCCCAATTTCATTACGTAACAGCCTTCGTTTGTGGTCAAACTCACGGTCACCCGGAGTAGACCGACTGGCTTCGATCAGTTGTAAGGAGCCAGAAGAGACCCAGTGCTTGTAAGCGGGACGTTTCGCGAAGCCGCAAGCGGCTTTACTCGCCATTTTCATGGCGTCGTGAAGATGCAACCAATGCTCATCTATACTTTTCGGTGGGATGGTAGCTAGCCTAGAGGCTAGCTCCGCTCGATACTTACTTGCAACAGGAGTTGCAGCCAGTTTACTAATATCAATCCGTTGGTGGTGGTCAATCCTTCGGCCACTGAAAAGTAAGGTGAGATTGGCGCAGACCAGGGCATGATCAGACTCCAGATAGGTACTCCAAAAGGAGCGGCAGTCTTGTACACAACCACGCCAGCGGTAGCTGATCGCGATGTGATCAATCTGAGTCCAGGCTTGGGATGCAGAGGGAGGACGCCAGGTGGCACACCGGCGATGACTGTGCCGGAAGTTGGTGCTGGCCAGAAACAGGTTGTGGTCTGTGCACAGTTGCAGCAAACGGTCCCCGTTATCTGTCCTGCGACCAACAAGTCCCCATCGGCCACCTAGACGACTCTCTTCTATGCCTAGACGCCCGACCTGTGCATTCAAGTCTCCGGCTAGTACTACAATATCTGTCGAACGCGCTTTCTGGAGAAGAACTGTTAACTGATGGTAAAACTCATCCTTGATTGCATCCGGGCTGCAATCTGTCGGAGCATAGGCGGAGATGACGAAAAGACACCGTTTCTCACGCCGGTTTCTTCTCACTTTGATGGAACTTTCTAATCTAACAGCACATAACCGACTGTTAATGGGGATCCAATCGATTAGTGCTGCCTCAGCCCTAGCGCTTAGTGCGACGCCAACGCCAGCAAGACCAGACGAAGATGCCACAGGGTCCCCGGATAAGCGCACGTGGAACAAGCTTTTCGAGGCGACAGATGGAGAGCGGATTTGTAGTACTTCACTAGAGTCTTGAATACGGGTCTCGGATAGACAACAAACGTCAACATTAAGACCTTCCAAAGACATAGCCAGCCCTATCTGTTGTCTGATCTGCATTAGTGTGCGAACGTTGAAGGAAGCCAGCTTGAACGGCGTACGTGGTTTCAGAAAGACTGCCTCAGTATTCATAATCGGTGGAAGCATTCACTTTCAACCAGACAGTGACTGGAGATCGTTTAGATAGGACAGATTTTCCACCAAGAGCGAGCTGCTGCATAAGTTGAAGAGTAAGGTTACACAAATTGGGGATAAAAGGGGGTGAATTAGCGATATGGTAAGTAATAATAATAATAATAATAATAATAATAATAATAATAATAATAATAATAATAATAATAATAATAATGTAAATTGTCTTGCTTATAATATGAGCAGGAATAGAATCGTCAACAGAGTTCATCATTTCATTCATTTGTGTGTGGGCTTTGATACTGCCCGGGTGCCCAAACCGAAGCAGGTGGTTTTCTTAGGGGACCACACCCCGAGCCTTTGACCTAAAGGTCTGATCCACAAGGCAGTGGAGCATCGTGAGGAGATGCAGTCCCATGGTAGCCGTTGACCAATGACAGGTTCTTCCGCCATTCGTTCCATCAGGATACTGGAGCCCATGTGCACCATTGGTTTGGAATCAGGGTTTTCCAACTCCCCTAGGTGAACCCTCCGTGTCCACCAATCCGGTTATAGCGCCGGACATTCGCTTTTCGTCCTCTCACTTTCGTAAACAACACCCCCGCCACGAGAAGGCAGTGAGTAGGACTTCCCTGGCAGAGGCTATATATTCGCGTGGCCATATGAGAGCATTTCGAGAGGGAGAGTAGACTCTCCCCACTCTCGGCCGTACCAGGGCATTTGGGGGCTATGTTGGTAGAGAAAAGTCTGAACATGCACCTGTTAATGAATCACTTCTTATTTCCTCACTGAGTAATATTTTGACCTTTAGAGGTTGAATGCATCAGTGACTGTTGTGTAAGAACATTGTATGATTTGTCTTTTGACTATCTAGCTTATTGATGATTCAATTTCGCCTATAAGGTTGCTTTTTTTAAACAATGAACAACTATCGACTTTACCTTGATTCAATCTTGTTAAGAATGTTGATGACTAAAGCAACCTTATGAACTTTTATCATAATTTTCTAAAAACATGATAATTGTTCTCTGCCACTTTTCCCATTAACTTTGACTTGCTTATTAGTTAATCATATCAAATGTCTGGGCGCGGATATAGTATCGAGATCTTTTGTCGGTCAACACACAATCCCATTTTTGCAATGTTTATGTATAAATGTGACCGTCAATGATATCCATCTACCTAGTGGTTTGAATTTTGTGTTTGCCGTTGGTTGACAAATATATTACTTCCAGATATCTTGGTTGTACATCGAAGATCCAATGATTGACTTCTCTACCATTGAGAATATTACAGGTCATCTTATATTTATATAGATTTCTGCTCATTCGGAATAAAATAAATATTGAGAAATTTCAATCAATTTTCTGATTAATTTCACTTAAGACTGTAGTATAATCATTATAATATTGTGTTCTCGTTGTTTTTAGTTTCCGACTTTTTTATCAGTGGCAGGAATATCTGAAGTAGTTGGTTTTAAAGCGTGGTTTTTTTCCGTTTATTGTTGCCAAGTCGATACCATAAGAGTGGGTTTCTCAAACTCCGATCTAACTATTTATTCCATTTTTTAGTTACTCTGGGCACACTTGTGAGTTGTATCTTGTCTCACGTTTGGCACCCAACTTTGCTACCGTTTGCCGCGTCTTGTACGAAATTCGTAAACGATGCCCAAGTTTTATTCCAAAGTCATTATTTGATTTTGGCTCTGGGCTCGGAACAGTCGCCTGGTGAGTATTTTGGATGGAGTTTTATGACATCTCTCACACTGAAATTCTACATTGCCAACTAGCACTATTTTAGTTTAATCAGAAGTGACTTTTTTATGCATATTAATTATCATATACTGCAAGGAAATAATTGTAAATTACAATACGTTGCAAATAATTTGACTTCCTCTGTGGTGTGTGTTCTCGTTCACTACAGCTCTACTACCTCTAATCTAATGGTGGTGCTTATTTATTATGATGGCCATGTCAGGACTCATGGATGTAAACGCGTATCGCTTATATTATATCAGAATGGTAGGACTGAAAACAACTAGTTTGGCTGGGTGACATAATGACTTCATTTTGTTTCGTCGATATCTAGCTAGCTTTTTTAACCTGCAACATTGAGAACACGAGATAACAGTGGAGCTATAATATTCTATATTTCGCTGGGGCTAAGAAGTAGGATATCATTTGGGAAATCATGCCAGGAATTTAAAATGTATTTATTGTACTTGGGCTAATGTACATTTGCACCAGGTCGCTTACGTTGGTTGTGACTGGCTGACCGGTGTTATCATAAACAAATTTTTTTAGATAACCAGTGTTACCAGTTTATAGCTATCTTATGAAGTGCAATAAATTCGTGATAGTTTTGCTTTTTTCAAGGTGAATAAATATATGGAAGCAGCACACCAAAGCAAAATTTTGATTTACACTGAAACTGTATTGTTATTTGTATAACAACAGCTAACCGTTATCTTCAATTACAGTCCTTCCTATTACAGAAAGAGAAGGGATTATAAAAATCGGGACTTTATTTCATCTTGCTTTTTCTTTTGATTTATCGATGGGAAGTTTGACGAAGAGGATCACAATACAATTGCTTCCTATCTTTTTGTTATACCAAAGCATCTGTTCAGAAGTATTCATATATATATATATATATATATATATATATATATATATATATATATATATATATATATATATATATATATATATATATATATATATCCAATTCAAAAGGCTTTCAAAGTCTATCCTCTTTTATTTAAACTACCATAAAGTTTCAGTTTTTCATGAAGTAGGTTTTAGATGCCGAGATAGTTATCAGGAAGAAATAGACTGTTCTCTCAGCGTTGGTCCAATCTAGAATTTATTGTTTTGTCAGTCAGATAAGATTATCCTATAGCAGACAAACAATTCCATTAATAAAAAATACATTAATTCGCCAAAAAGTGAGCAACTAAATCAACTAACAAAGCAGCGTTTGGTAGATTTGAGGTTCCTGTTTACTTCTCAATAAAACTGCTAACTTTCCTCTTACCATCTTTGTTTTGACTACTTCGTATACATTTTGTCGTTTTTTCATCATAATCATTTTCATTCCATAGCGCGAACACCAACTGTAATATAACAAGGTAGGAGCGTAAGTGGTTTTATTTTCAAGATATTTTTAGTGAAATGGAATTTTAGACTGAATGCAAAACGATACTAGAAAAGTCTTTCTTATTTTTGTTGTTTCACTGGTCTAGTGATCTACTGACTAAGATGACAGCTAATTCATCACTAATATACTTATTTCGTCATTATTCGTAGTCATTTCGAATCACTTAATTTTTTTCCTCTGTTATACGCTGAATATTTAGGGCAACAAACACAGTCTGGCCAGTTGGTTGCGTACGCCAGCATTATTTGGTGGAACCGTCATTGCATATGACACGATTATCGGAGTTTATGTTTCAAAAGCAGGGGAGTGCTCAATTCTCTGAATCTGTGTTTCCGGGTGTTTACCATCGCCGCTTCATGCCTAGTACCAAGGTAATCGACTTTACATTTGTCGTTTTCCTTAATTTATTCAAAATCCCAACAGAACATATATTCATTGATCTTTAACACTCCTCGTAGTGTTACCCAAAATTATATTTTCTGTAAATTTATGAACTAGGTAGCTTCCTGCTTTTATAAGCATCGGGATTTTATCCCCAAAATGGTTTGCTAGTTTTACTTGTGCACTAGGTTACATAAATTCTAGCTACTGGCCTAAATAGTGTAGTAGTCATTAGACATTTCATAAAAGTATTTATTACGTAAAGGCAAGGTTTTTAACTTGTATTTACTTAGGCTGATGATTTGCATTGGATAATGGTCACAAAATTTTTAATTCGCTTCATGGTTTGTTAAGTATATTAGAATACAACGGTTTCTGAATTAATCCAGGAAAAGTATTGTGGTCTTATTGTCATAGGCTCGACCTATAAACAGACAGTTACCACCAATCAATCCTCCTGTGGCTAACTTTGTGGTCAATGACGTTAACGCGAAAATAGACTTATAGAAAAAAATTGCACTTGGATTCCTGAAGCTTGTTCTTAGTGTTATATCGAGTGCATGTGTGCCCTGTTTAAAATATGACGTGATGATCCCCGCCAATGAGAGAGGAGTGAATAATCGACCAGAGCAATGGTACACGAAAAATCTGACGGGCAGTCTAGAGCACTAGTCGGTCCTGCTATCTGCCTGGCCCAGTCAGTTAAGTCCAGAACACCAACAACAGCCTCTGTAATATGAATCATTATTCTCAAATATACTGCGTTTATATACCAAACAGACAGACCACATCGTATCATAAAATAGGAAACAACATTCGTATAAGATTTGGCCAAATGTGGCCGTGAATAGGGGGGAACAGTAATTAATAGACTGGAGATAACTCAGGAATGGTAAATCGTACAGTAATAGTCTATGAGTCAAAATAAAGCTCATGATGAGGGGAACATGAATATGAATAGTTAAGTTATTTAACAATTGTACAATAGGAAATATACGTATCATTGCTTACTTACGCCTGTTACTCCCAATGGAGCATAGGCCGCCGACCAGCATTCTACAACCCACTCTGTCATAGGCATTCCTTTCTAGTTCTATCCAATTTTTGTTCATATTTATCATGTCTGTCTTCATTTCTCGGAGTAATGTGTTCTTCGGTCTTCTTTTCTTTTGGTATTCAGGATTCCATGTGAGGGCTTGTCTTGTGACGCAGTTGGGTGGTTTCCTAAATGTGTGTACTACCCACTTCCAGCGCTTCTTCCTCCGTTGGAGTCTAGTTTGTTCTCTCCCATAGTAGGTTGTTGCCAATTTTGTCTGGCCAACGGATCCGAAGTATTTTGCGTAGACAACCATTAATAAACACTTGTATCTTCTGGATGATGGCCTTCGTAGTTCTCCAGGTTTCCGCTCCATACCGTAGGACTGTCTTGACATTTGTATAGAAAATTCTGATCTTGGTGTTGGTTGACAATTGTTTTGAGTTCCAGATGTTCTTCATTTGTAAATATGTTGCTCTTGCTTTGCCGATCTGCGCTTTCACATCTGCATCAGATCCACCGTGTTCGTCAATGATCCTGCTCAGATATGTAAGGGAGTTTACTGTTATGACTCGTAAGTTGAACGTTTTATTCGTATCCTAGCTATTCGGATAACCCCAGGCTAGCACTACTCAGCGACTTGGAAGACCAGAGAGAAGACACGAGTATCAGAGAAGCACTTTACTACAAGGTTCAATTATGTACAGAAAAACAGGGGTTTTATAGTAGCTAAAAGACCTTGAGATCCCATAGTAACAGTATGTTAACAGCCAATCAGGACCTTGTTATTTTAGTAGCATTTTAGTAGCATAGCTTCTAACTAATCGCTGATTGGTTGGTCTCTTTATGAGCCTCTCTGGAGGCTCTGATAGAGTTTATTGTAAGCCGATCTAACATTTACACCCTCCAAAGCTTCTCCGTCAAGTGTGATTCGATTGATGCATGCTGTATTGTATCGGAAAGTCTTGCTTTTCCCTCTGTGTATATTGAGACCTACTGATGCTACATTGGTCGTCTTCTCCTGCATTTGTTGTTGCGTGTGTGATAGAAGTGCCAGATCGTCTGCGAAGTCTAAATCACCCAGCTGCATCCTAGCTGCCCATTGTATCCCGTGCTTCCCTCCAGGTGTTGACGTCTTCGTGATCCAGTTGATCACCAGAAGAAAGAGAAAGGATGAAAGTAAGCAACCTTGCCTAACACCGCTCTTTACCTCGAATGAGTCAGTGAGTTGTCCTCCATGGAAGATTTTGCTGTTCAATCCATCATAGGAATTCTGTATGATATTGACTATCTTCTCAGGCACGACGTAGTGTCGAAGAAACTTTCATAGTGCTGTCCTGTCCACGCTAACAAATGCTTTTTCGTAGTCAATGAAGTTGATGTAGAGTGATAAATTCCATTCAATTGATTGTTCCACAATGATCCGTAGAGTTGCAATTCAGTCTGTACACAATCGACCCTTACAAAATCCAGCCTGTTGGTTTCGAAGTTGGGTGTCTACGGAGTCCTTTATTCTGTTTAACAATGCTCTGTCGAAGACTTTTCCTGGTATTGAGAGAAGAGTGATGCCCCTGTAGTTATCACATCTACTGAAATCGCCTTTCTTTGGTATTTCGATCAGAAGTCCTTCTTTCCAGTCTGTTGGTTCTTGTTTCTTTGTTGTATCATACAATTGTCTCATGTTTCCTTCTCTTGCAGCCTTTTCTGCCGTCATTGCTAAATCTTCCACATATTTACGTTTGTCGGTTCTGATGCTCCTCTTCATTTGCTTGTTTACTTCTGTGTATTCGGCTTGTGCCTTGGCTTTTTCTGCTCTTGTTCGGCTGCTATTGATTGCTGCCTTCTTGTTCCTCCTTTCTTCAATCTTATCCAGTGTACCAACAGTGATCTATTCCTTGTGATGGTGCTTCTTGTGACCCAGAACCTCATGACATGTTGAAGTGATTGCCTCGTCGATCCCTTTCCAGTTTTTTTCTGTGGTACTTCCATATCCACTGAGTAGATCGTGAAAGGCCTGAAACCTATTGGTGAGGGCTATCTCGAATTCGTTGAGTCTGTCAGTATCCCGAAGGAATGCCGTATTAAAATTTTTTGATGTTGTCTGCCACGTTATCCAGTGCTTCTTGGGTTTTAATTTTATCTTGATGACCAGCAAGTAATGATCTGAGGCTATATCAGCTGTTCTCCTGGTTCTCGCATCCTTCATGGTCCTCTTGAACTTTTTGTTGATGCAGATATTGTCGATTTGGTTATGCGTAGTGTGATCCGGTGAAGTCCATATGGTTTTGTGAATGCGTTTGTGTGGGAATATAGTGACGCCTATGACCAGTTTATTGAATGCACATAGGTTTGCAAATCTCTAATCATTTTCGTTCCTTTCTCCCAGTCCATGTCGTCTCATCACGTCTTCGTATCCAGTGTTGTCCATTCCAACCTTGACATTCAAATCTCCCATCAGAATGGTCAGGTCCTTTGTTGGGCAGTTCTCGATGATTGACTGCAGCCTATTGTAGAATTGATCTTTAAGGTCTTCCTTGAAGTCATTGGCAGGCTCATAGCATTGGATGACGTTTATTGTAATGCCCTCTTTCTTTGTATATAAGGCAGCTTTGATGATCCATGGTCCATAAGATTCCCATCGTATAAGTGCATTTTGTGCTTGTTTGGGCAGCATCAATGCCACTCCTTGTGTATGTGGGGCTTTTCGAGGCGACAAATGGAGAGCGACTTTGTAGTACTTCACTAGAATCTTGAATACGGGTCTCGGATAGACAACAAACATCAACATTAAGACTTCCTAAAGACAGAGCCAGTCCCATCTGTTGTCTGATCTGCATTAGTGTGTGAACGTTGAAGAAAGCCAGCTTGAACGGCGTACGTGGTTTCAGAAAGACTGCTTCAGTATTCGTAATCGGTGGAAGCATTCACTTTCAACCAGACAGTGACTGGAGATTGTCTAGATAGGACAAATTTTCCACCAAGAGCGAGCTGCTGCATAAGATGAAAAGTAAGGTTACACAAATTGGGGATAAAAGGGGTTGAATTATCGATATGGTAAATAATAATAATAGTAATAATGCAAACTGTTTTGTTTCTAGTATGAGCGAGAATAGAATTGTCAGTTGGATGTGTCATTTCATTTATTTGCGTGAGGGCTGTGATACTACCCGGGTGCCCAAACCGAAGCAGGTGGTTTTCTTAAGGGGTCACACCCGGAGCCTTTGACCTAAAGGTCTGATCCACAAGGCAGTGGGGCATCATGGGGAGATGCAGTCTCATGGTAGCCGGTGACCAACATTTGGTTCATACGCCATTTGTTCTCTCAGGATACTGGAGCCCATGTGCACCATTGGTTTGGAATCAGGGTTTTCCAACTCCCCTGGGTGGACTCGCCTTGTCCACCAACCCGTTTAAAGCGCCGGACATTCGCTTTTCGTCCTCTCACTTTCGTGAACAACACCCGTAATGCTAGTAGGCAGTGAGTAGGACTTTTGTGGCAGAGGCTATATACGCGTGGCCAAGTGAGTGCATTTCGATAGAGAGAGAGCGGACCCTCCCCACTCTCGGCCGTACCAGAGCATTTGGGGGCAAATAAGAACAATAAAAGGGCGGACTTGCATGCATATAGCAAACAATTCTCTTTGAACCTAGCACACAACAATTCTGTCATGCATTGTCCCATCGCCCTTGGGAGATCAGGCAACCCGAAAGTCACGAGAACACCATCAGGGCATACGACAGGCCAGGTACCCGATGGCCGGTGACGACTGATCCACCAAACGAGGCGGAAGTCCGCAAGGAACTCCAACTCTTGAAACGCTACAAATCACCAGGCCCAGATGACTTATCTCCGGCTCTTTTTAAAGATGGTGACTTTCTGACCAAGGAACTGACTGTGTTGTTTGCCAAGGTTTGGGATCTAGAAAGTGTTCCAACATCATGGAATGAGTCGAT